GCACTCGGCTGCGAACCTTTCTAAGGAGCACTGGAGATCAGTTTCGGAAGATGCTAATAAAACAAGGTCAAAATTTTTTTTCACAAAGGAAAACTGGTTATCATAAGGGACAACAGTTTGGAGGCAGAGATCGAGGCGGTCATATCAATCTTATGGCATCACTTTGTAGATAGACGACTCAAAATGATGACTGTTATGAATATTTGCAACGAACACATAGTTTCCAAATGAGCTGCAGGAATTCGAAGTTAGTTTGGCATTAGGAATCAGATCTGCTAGTATTTCAGCGATACAACACCGGCCATCATTTTGCAAAGAAATATTAAGTTATCAAATAACTACTTGCTCTAGTGATCGCCTCACATCTGTGGATGTGAAGTAGAATAGAATCTGAATTTTGACATCAACCTGCCATATTTCTATCCATAGGATAATCCTACCCACGCTGAAAATGCTGCAAAGTCAGCTCTGGACTATTAACTTGCTGAAGCAATTTATATAATTTTATACAATTTATTGGTTGTGGTGGATAATTTCATTGTAACTTTCGTCTGTTATTTTTATGACTTTGAAACTACGCGTACACATGGAACAAATTTTGAATTGTTAAATGTTATATTCAAATATATTTAGCAATGGAAACATGAATTTTTCTAAAAAAAACAAGGTAATCATTAATTGAGCATATTTATCATTTCTACACTGAACGAACGGATAGGGAATGAAACACTTTTTCAGAGAAATGCAAAGACTTTACCTTAGAGAAACAGCTTTTCCTTCAAGTTTTACTGATATATCAGAAACTGAATTCTTGTATGCAGTGAACAAAATAAGACAATTACGAAAAGGAAGATGAAACTATCGAACTTGATTTCGCCAATTTTGTATCCACTCGCAGATTCTATCGATGTTTATTTCCAGATTTTCGAATGTGTCGTTCTGCAACTGATAGACAATCGTCGGGTCATAGGACTGTACTGCTTCCTCGTATAGGACACCGAATATTTCGCACTCGATGTTTTCCTGGAGTTTCTTGGGGTTGTAATTTCGTCGCATCAATCTGTCGTAGAGAACGGTGTTGTCGGTCCTGAGAACGAACACTGCATCGAACCATCTTTGCGGGAACAGATCACAGCCGTGGTAATCAACGATATTGCCACCGCGGTCCATCTGATCTTCCATGTAGTCGACCAACTTCTCCTCGTCTAAAACGTAGCACTCGTAGTTCTCGTCATACTCCTCATAAAAGTTGTTGTTGGCCGCAATTTTCGCCACGCTGGCGTACGTTAGGCCACTTCGAACCGCTAGTTGTTCGGCAAGGATGCTTTTGCCACAGCCCGGTGTTCCAGTCACCAATATATTCGGTTCAGCACGCAACATTCTTTAAAGCAAGCTTAATTGCTCTATCACACAACAAAGAGAAACGTAAACAGCATCGAAGTGTCGGTTAACGACAAACAGCCTGTAAACAGAAACTGCAAATGCTCATCGTTTATTGAATAAAATCATGGCGAGAAACTATTCAGAAGCATGACGAGAAAAATTCAAAATCCAACTTTTCCTAATCTTTCGTCTGTTTTCGGATCAGCCGTGATCTCTTGAGCAGCGACGATAGCTTCATTAATTTTAGTCTGTAGGTGCCTGACTTCACTTACATGTAGAAGTCTTAAGACTCTACATGCTTGGTTAAGAACTTTGTCTAAAATTCGACCTGAGAGAAAATATGTTCAAAAAAATTAAAAGCTTTACCTCCGGTATCCAATCCCAACTCGAAGTCATCGAGGTTTACATTATCAGCCTGAAAATGATTCTGTTAATCGTTTAGCTACAAAGTTATAAATAATAAAGAATGCATGCAATTAACTTATTAAAATTAGACAAGGGCAGAAATCCTAAAGTACGACTATGTACACACTGCAGGAAAAGTCAAATTAAAATGGGCCGCAGTTTCAAAGCAATACTATCAATTAGCAGATAAGTTCTTAATCGCTGAAGAAGCTATCGCGAGATCTTTACGGTATGTCATTGACCTTCCAAACGTGAAATAATGACCTGCATTTAAAAAGGAAGAAAGATCCGCATATTATGTAGGGGACAATATCAAACGAGAAACTAAATTACACTGTATCTGCACCTCTGATCAAGATGTACCATGCACAATCGCATTTGTACTTAATCTATATATAATATGCAACACGCCTGTGTGTGTGTATGTGTGTGTGTGTGTGTGTGTGTGTGTGTGTGTGTGTGTGTGTGTGTGTGTGTGTGTG